CATTTGCACAGATGTAAATAAAATTAAATATTATAAGTTATATTTATGTATATAATATAAAAATTATAAGTTATATAATTGTATTATATTTCAAACATATAGTATTATAAGTTATATTTATGTATATAATATTAAAATTATAAATTATATAATAGTATTATATTTTAAAATTTGATCATTGGTTAAAATAAATAGTACACACGATTTGATTGTATACGAATCACTATATTGATTGCATAAAATGCAATAAATATATACTTTTTATAATTTTGAGTGATCATGACCAATTAATTAGCTGAAAAATATTACATTTATTATAACAATTGCTTATGTGAATTTAAGAAATTTTACTATAACATAAAAAAAATTAATTTATTAATAAACAACATCTTCATCATATAAAAAAATATTGATTTTAGTGTAAAATATAATTTTATGTAACTTTCATATATTATTTAGTATAAAATATAATTACTAATTTTAATATTAACTATTATATTATTCAATAAAAAATATAATTATTAATCAATTAACATAAAATATAATGGTTTTTGTCTTAATTAACCCAAAAAATGTAATGAAATATTTTTTTATTAATGAGATTGGGTGTATTAATGCCACATAAATAAACTTTATTAGGTTCTATTTATTAGGTTTTATTAATGATTTGCCACATAGATAAAATTTATTAGGTAAAATTTATTACTTAGCTAGCAATTATATATATATAGATAGGTGTTTATTTAATAAAAATATGTTTACCATTTAATAATAATATGTAACTTTCAGTTACACGATTTATTTTGACAGATCCCATTTTGGATGAATTTCAATTCTGTAACGCCTTTTAATGTCCTGAAATACAATTATAATGCTAATACAATATCAAAAAATCAGTTACACGATTTATTTTGATAGGTTCCATTTTTATGGATGGTGCATATTTCTTTTATAATTATAATGCTAATATATATAATAATGATCATAATTAAAAAATGTATACTCATTATATAACTTATAATTTTAAGTATCATATTTTACTTTTGCAACTGTGCATGTGCATAGAATCGAATATTAGTATAATTTAATTTAAGCTATCAAATCAAGTGATATCATGGTGTGTTTTTGGGCAATTTTACACTATAACGCCCTATGAAGCACTCTTTACTATGCTTTTAAAAACGATGGGTAAAATATCAATATCCAATAATAATAATAATAATAATAATAAAATTACTTTTGCATAAACTTTTACTTATAGGTAATAAAAAATGATGGGGATGTTTAATAGTTGTTGATTTTAAAAATAGTGTGATATATAAACATGATCGTGACACTTGTTATTATGTCAAATTTTATATCATATTCTCTATGTCATTATAGTCATGACTAAAAACATAGCAAATATGACATCGTTTGTCCTCTCGTATCCCCTACTCTCTATCGTGGAATCCGCACTCTCAATTTAGCTTTCGATATCAATTTGGACGGAACTTATGTTTCAGACTTATTATTTTACTCGGTATCATTTTACAAAATTTGAAGGTTTATTATTTTATCAATTCAAGTAAACTAAAATTGAAGATATTTAAAATTAAAAATATATAAATTTAACTTTTTTAAAATTTTGATAAATAACCTACTAATAATATCCTTTTATTTCGAAACTAGCAATGCCTAGAGTTAGGTCTACATCCCGAAGCTTCTAAAATGCATTGAGTCTAGTCTAGTCTATGTGTAATGTAAATAAACTCAAGTATTTGATGACATAGATAAAACTACGTAAAATTAACAAAATCTACTCTAATGCAAAGAGACTAGGTTTCTACTTGAGTCTATAAAATAGACTTAAGGGTAGATCGGGTCTCTTTTTTTTGCTGCCACATCAACAGGATTAGTCTACTTTTATGTGCATTGAAAAATATATTTTTTAGACTGAGACTATTTTTTATGTGGCATATTATTTTTTTATTTAACTCAAAGCATTGTGAATGCTCTAGTTTAATCTGTCCAACATTTCTTGTTATTATATGATTGACTAAAATGGAAATGATGGTCCAACTCAAACATAGCCCTAAAACTTTATTTTCAAATTTAAAAACAAAAAAATAAATAAAAAAGAGCTATTAGGTTTCGACCGTTGGGGTCGGGTAGCTATTGTTATTCAAACCTTTCATCTTCACACTTCGATCCGAACATTTTTATTCTTCAACAACAACATCAGCTGAGTCTAAGCGTGTTCTTGTCAGATTTTCGTCATGTCCATCGCCACCAGACGCCATGGCTGGCAACGCCCTCTTCACCCTTTACAGGTTTCCCATTTTCCCTTCTTCCCTTCATTGTGTTTCCTTTTTTATTTACAAAACAAAAACTTACCTGGTTTCGTTTTTTTCATCTGAGTCCCTATTTTGCTGCAGATTGTGGGGGTTTCAGTGTTCTGTTTCCTGGTTGCTGCATTTTATTGCTTTGTAGGGCTTTTCTTAGGGAACAGAATTGCAGAGATCACTGTCAACACTGTTTTCTCCTTTGCGGTAAATTACTCGCAAGCATTTTCACACATCGATGGTCCCGATTCCCTCATCATTTAATAACAATTGATTCTTCATACATATGCTGCAGGCACTTTCCTCTGCTCTTCTGTTCGTTAGGTGTGCCGTCACGGATCCAAGCGACAAGATCAGATTTAGATTCAGAAAGAAGAAGCAAAAAGGTGCGACCTTTGGGGTCTCCAAGCTCAACTATGGATACATCTTTAGCCGGATTTTGTTGAGGTTATTCAAAAGGATGGAGCGGAAGATCCTAAGATCTTGCATAAGAAGGAAGTACTTAGACCCATGGAATACTAGGATTCAAATCGAGCCTCTCATCCCGTTTCCACTTGTCCTTGAAGATGATGATTCTCTCACCCCTGATCCGAAAGACGACGATGTCTCATTTTGCTCTCTTTGTGATTTTGAGGTTCCAAGAAAGAACCCTATTGGCTAGTCAGTTGTATTGCCAAAAAATAATAACAATAACAAATCATAATTCCTAATTGTGCAGGTTCGCAGGTACAGTAAACATTGTAGGACTTGCAATCGTTGTGTTGAGGGGTTTGATCACCACTGCAGGGTAAGGGACAACAACGGTTATGTTGTAAAAATCGGTGGCATCCAATTCTTATTTTCGATCACATTAGTTGATGGAATAATACTATTATGTGATTCGATTCTTACAGTGGCTCAACAACTGTGTGGGGAAAAGGAATTACACAACCTTCATTCTTCTGATGATTTTTGTCTTGATAATGGTTAGTAAATGATATCAATCAAGCTTTGAGGCATGCCTTTTAATCAATTATGTCCGTGCTTAATTGTTCATTGTTGCTTTTACTAAATGCCCTGGCTTTTCTATCAATCAAGCTTTGATAATCATTTTTTGCTTAAATGTTGTTGTTACTTCATTCCAGCTCATTGTAGAAGGAGGAGCTGCTGTAGCAGTATTTGTTAGGTGTTTTGCTGACACAAACGGCATACAACATGAGTTGAACAAAAGAAATTATGTTAAATTCCCTAGAGCTCTTCTTGCTTCCTTATCGGTAATGATTTCGTTATTCATCTGTTCAGGATGGCATATGCACCTTAACAAGCTTTCTTATACTTTACCTTTTTTTCTCCTCACCCGACAATCCATCCCCCCCAAACAAATTTAATATATATACAGGTTGTATTGGTTTTGCTGACGACTTACGGAACAGCCGCACTGGGACAATTGTTCTTCTTCCATATACTTCTAATCAGAAAGGTACTGCTGCTATAGACTAGGTGAAGGATTGATATGTGATGTGTAGGTATCTTTTACGAATCATGCTCTCTTGCCTTTGGACATCGACACATGTAAACAATGTTCTAGATATGTGATAAGCTAGAATTCTGGTATGAAGCTTTTGAATGACTGTGTTGGGACATCAAATGTTCTCAGGGAATCTCAACCTATGAATACATTTTAGCAATGAGAGAAGAGAGTCTGTCTATGGAATCGTCGCTTGAAGACTCTTCAGGCTTTTCTTCTTCTTCTTCGGATGACGATAATGACGACGAAGACAACTATAACAGTGACTTGGATTCATCTCAAAAGCGTGCTGCATTTTTATCGCGAATCATGTGCAAAGATGGGAAGATGCAGCAGGTATACAATTTATCTTTATCCAGTTAAATATGCAATTCATCATTACATTTCTCTCAAGTAAAACTCATTTACCAGATTCAGAACCCTCAAAAATTGGCCATAAGAATTGATGGAGAATCTGCTGACCAATCAACATCTATCTTGAACAAGAAAAAGCAAAGTGATATCCGCCATGCGAGCATTATTGATCCATGGAAACTCATAAAACTGAGCCGAGAGAAAGCTCTTCTCGCAGCTGACAAGGCAAGGGAAAAGCTTTCCGTTAAACCTAAAGAAAGCAGTAGTGAACCGTTGAAGCCCCTGCCACTGGAAACAAGAAGAGGACCACTTATGAAATCAGATAAAGATTTGGCTTCAGCTAACAAAAGGTTAGATTTGACGCCTGCCATAACTAAAGGGATGATGCTTCGAAATTCCCCAAGACACTTGACGAGTTCAAGTCCAAGAAGAAGACTTTCCTGTTCTCCAGCACTTCAGCAGCACTATGGTACTGCTGTGCCATCACCAAAACACAGCAGGTACAGAAGTGACTTTGATTTGAAGCTGACTCAAGTCTCCACAGAACTCGAGACTTACATTTCAAAGCAGGTCTTGTGTTCTGTCTTAAAGAATGAGGGGTTTCAAGCTTCTCCAAGATAATAGGCGCATGACAGAAGACAACATCGGATGCAGTTTTTTTCATTTCTCAGCCTTTGAGATAGATTTTTTTATTATTATTTATTTGTAAGATCCCCAAAGCTTCTCTAATTATCTCTCACATTGATGTAAGAATATGTACGACGCAGCCTCACTGTTTGTGTTTGTGCCTTATTTATGTCATCACCGAAAGTAAATGAAAATATAAAAAAACTCGATTTTTCTTATCCATCCATCTTTTCATGTTTCTCTTACATTTCCACGATTCCTTCACACAAGGCAGCAAGGACGGAATATTTGCTGCAATGGTGACCATGCACACAATTCATTGTCCAAGCAAAACCGCGTTGAAGGAAATACAGAAATAAATTGAATACAGAAGTACTTTCCTTTCCTTTGGAATTATTACACCCACAATCTATCATTTTACAGCAAATTTTACACCTTGCACATTGTGTACTATATGGTTTTACTTGCCAGCCTGTTCCCAGCAATAAAAAGGGCACATCAGAGGTACAATAAATTACTTCTCAGCTGCTTGCCTGCTGCCAACAGCAGATGAAGGTAGCGTGGCAGCGGCTATTGTCTCGGGGTTTTTATAATCACTTTCCTTTCCTTTGGAATCAAGCTTATCGTCTTTCCCACGCGCTACATTCCTTTGATCCTTAACCATTACAGGTTGGAACTGAAAAAAAAAAAACGATGACATATGGTTAGATGTGCTAGCAACCTGTTTATGGAATGCTCAAATGACTGTTAGTGCAACAATTTCATTTGTTACGACAGAATGAATACAAGATCCCAAAAATACCTGGTAAATAGAATATATCACGTTTCTCCTTATTCGTGCCATCATATCCACAAAGAGATTGTATCCCTCAAGTTTGTATTCGATGAGTGGATCCCTCTGTGCATATCCTCGTAAACCCACTGCTTGCTGAACAAATTTTAGCGCTTGCAGGTGCTCCTTCCATAAACGATCAACGTTGGTCAACGTCAGGAACTTTTCTGCCTCTTTCATCAAGCCTGGAGCCTCCTTCTCCACAATTTCCTGAAATGGGAAAATATTCAATGACACACACAAACACAGAGTGAGAGAGAGAGAGAGAGAGAGAGAGAGAGAGAGAGAGAGAGAGAGAAGATTATTTCTCTATCAGCATTTACGAAATCAACAAGCTCGATTGATTAAAACAAAGATATGTGAACAAAGCTATTAGCTTATCAAACAACATACAACTGTTGTCCAGTTGTCTAGTAACTGATTGATAGTATGGAATCCTGAGAATCGTGTTTTAGATCAGACATATACCCGTTTCTGCAAGTATGCTTCACGTCCACGAAGGTGAAGATAGTCTCTTAGTTCCTCGAAATTGGAGCATTTAGTTTCCAACAAATCTGGGGTCAAATCATCCAAAAGATAGCAATACCTAAACAGAATAACAAGACAGAGTTAAAATCCTGACCTCGTTTGCCAAAAGTTCTGGTAGAGAAAAACAATTTAGAGGGAGAAAGCATATTGACCATCAGAAAGATGTAAGTGATGATATTCTTAATTCCAAACATAAAAAAATGTAAAGAAAGAAAGGAAAATAAAGGAACTAACACACGTTTGGTGGCCAGGACAACAATTCTTATGCGCACAGGTCAAGGAAACTACCATAAAGAAGTTGGGGAAGGGGATTGGTTACTACAAGATTCTAGATCTCTACCCGAACTTCAATGGAATTAGATAAAAGATGATCTGACTTTGAACAATCCAGTGACTGATAAGACGTATTAACCAAGAAGGTAATATTTTAATTATAAGAAATACCAACTTTGCCATCAAATTTAGAAGTTTGGACAAATGGACAGCATCACTATCACAAACATGCCACCCAGATTATGAAGTACATGATACCGGGACATGTACAACTTCTTGTTTGCATGAATGAATAAAGGGAAATGCAGTCCTGGAGCAATATGGTAATCTATAATTTGAACGCATTGTGTTCACTTGAATTTATTAGTAATAGGAATAAAAATTCAACTTACTGCTTAAGTTTTGCTATAAGCTTCTCAAATTCCCAGCTTTCTCTGGGAGCATCAGAACCAATATTTGCCTACACAAGAGTAAGAAGACAAATGTAACATTCACAGTTGTTGGGAAACAACATGGTATGATTTGTCACAGATTTGAACAGATTATGTACCTCAAGTATATCGTCCATTGTTAATTCAGCATATTCAATTAGGAGAGATTGTAGATCTTCAGATTCTAAGGCTCGCCTCCTCTCATTGTATACTCGATCTCTTTGGCTGTTCAAAACCTCATCAAATTCAAACAGTTTCTTTCTAATGTCAAAAAAATAGTTCTCCACTTTTCTTTGAGCTTCATCAAGTGCTTTCGTCAGCATCTTGGATTCAATAGGTAAATCTTCAACTCTAAAAGCTCTCATCAAACCCTACAGGTCACAATAAAATTAACACCTGTGCAATTTATACCTCGCGAACAGGAATATTTGCTTGACGTCAAAGGGAACCTGAATTCGATCTCCACCAAATATCCGGAAGATGTTATCTTCAAGACTTAGAAAGAATCGGGAACTTCCAGGATCTCCCTGTCTGCCACTACGACCACGCAGCTGTACAAAAATTCCAGGATCAAGTTGAAGATTCAGAAGGCAGATAAGACAGCATAGTTACGATAAAGCACTAATCTGTCAATGTTGACGTAATGACTCATTCTGTCTGGACACATGACAGATATCAAAGCCATACCTGATTGTCTATTCGACGTGACTCATGACGTTCTGTACCCACAACATGAAGTCCACCGGCTGACACAACCTTCAATGAAA